TCTTGAAAATTGCACGAATGTACAACTGTTGCTATGATAATTAAAATGATCACCGATTGCCTGCGAAAAGTGATTTCCTTAGCACAGATTTCAAAGTTGAATTTCATCTGGTCTCATCAAACGGTGTTTATTCAATTCAGTTCCAATCACCGTGTGTGGTGGTGTTCGGTCGTCAGCATTAACAGCAGCCAGTAAGATTTGTCTCCAGTTGTGAGAGACAAATCTGTTTGAAACTGAAAATTTCGTTAATGAAGTATCTATCTAGAATTTGATTTTTTAATGTCTGATATTACGAACACCTCGTAGTTGGACTTTGGACATAACACAGAACTATTACAGGAAGTTTAGTCGAACTGCATGCAACTTTATTTCTGTAACTACGCTTTTCAAATATAAAAATATCCAGTTGACTCTTCGACTCACAAATTGTAATCATCCATTTTGTGGGTTTTCTTTAATGGTTTGTTTACCGATTTGATAAAAATATATTTAATTGACCTTCGTATCTGTCACCATGAGACATGGTTAATTAAACAAATTGAAAAGGAAACTAATATCCCTTTCAACGAGAAATCAGAACATTTGAACATCAGAAGTTCAAAAGATTCCAAGTCCATTCGAGGCTAAGCAATAATAATTTATTTAGTGAAAAATACGATTTGGGTTTGATGACCAGATTGAATTCAAGCAGCTCAAAAAGAAGAAACGATTAGTGATAGGAAATAATAAATAAAAATAAAAAAACAATACAAAATATATTCCCTTTATTTGAAAAATCTCAAAAATCTGTATATTTTCCAAAAAAACAGTAATCTGTTTGTACAGATATCTGTATCAAAATATTGAAAAAAAAATCTATATGATTACATATCTGTATTTGTGGCATCACTGGCAGCAGCAGTGCTTTCGGCACGTGGCGTTGAACATTGTTCTCCAGTACACAACGAAAGGCTGCCTGCAAGCAGTGAGCTGGAGCCCACATAAGCATCCATAGAAGGAGGAAGAAGCCGCACCGCTATTGATCGGAATCAGTAGCTCTTCGTGAGTCGCTGTAGGCCATCTATGTCAAGCGTGTCATACTAAAGAGTATAAACAGAGAGAGCCCCGCTCAAATCCCTATTCCTACACAAAACACAAGCTCCTGCTGCACAGTTAACACATAAGATTTATTATATAAGACCACGTAGTCCTACGTCACCATTGCGTACAACCCCATAGGGATGCCCCTTGCAGTTTTTGTCTCTAACATGTACACGGCGAGTCATGAAACGGTTTTTCTGATTGTCCAGATGAACCATTAAAGTGATCATTTTATAATACTGATCCTATAGGCCAGAAGTTTTATAACGATGTCTTCATAGATTTTTAGCAGATTTTGTTGCTGTTAAATAGAATCTTTTTTAATTTATGACCTAAATATGAATCCTGAAGGTCACAAGATGGCTATCCGGAAGATGCGGCACATATAGCATAACAACTGATGGATCTGTACGATAATTTTCAGGAATCAGGATCAGTGTTTCAAAAAATAAAATTAAGCTTCAAGAGGAAATCCCACAAAATCATCCGGAAGAAAATGAAGTATTTCAATTAATCGATTAAAACTTTGTAATTGTTCATCGCTTGTTTCAATATAAGCTATAAGTAAAACTAACTTTGTAATGAATAACTATAAAATACAGGGTGTTTGGTTCCGGGTTTTACATATTTTCAGGGTAGATAGGGCTCCTAAAGTTATGAAAAAATCCCCATGAAACATAGGGTCGGAAATGACTGCTAAGTGAGTTATTCAACACTTTATGTTTTTTTGTATTGCCAACTTTGGTAGGCTATATTTTTTAATATTAATGTGGTTTTCTGATTTCAACATACTTAATAAAAGATTAAAGTCTTAGCTATCAATGCTCTTTGAAAAAGAATTCGATTATAGTTAATTATCATACATTAAAATTGAAAAGTATGTTGAAAGTACCGAAAAAACTGGTGAAATTTCATACATTTTAGTGTTTTTAAGTTGAAAATTTTCATTTCTGTTTATTTAGTTGTTCTACAACACATTCTCCATGCAGTTCCCTAGATTTGTGTCTTTGGTAGTAACCTTGTAGGCTTTATGGTTTCTTCGTAATTATTGATTTAAAACAGCCATAAAAACTTGTGACGTTTTCATAAAATGCGCTATAGTCACCCTATTCGTTCGTACGTTCGGCTGTTGCAGTGGACTACGTACATGAAAATTTGGTAGAATGTTATTGTAATGTTTAGCTACATTCTTAACTTTTGATTACCGCACATCTCCTGTGCCGAAAGAAAACATAACTGCGGAGATGTTTCGCGGTATCGAATATTGCTCAGTCTCAGCAGAAAACACAACGAGATACACCGAATCGGTGAATTTTGAGAGCGGAAGGGAGAAAAGTAGGTAGTGGTAATAAGTCGATGTCCTTTTTATTTCATAGCACTTGCAGCTCAGCTGCGGTGCTGTTTCGGTGGAGGAGTGTTGAGCTTCGCTGCTTCTGTATACACACTTAGATTTTTTTATAGGAGTTAGTATTTTTTACTGGATTTTTGGATTACTGACTCGGCTAAAATTCAAATGGACTGTTATTCGTAAAGATCGGATAGAATCGATTTTTTTTTTATTTTTCATCATTACACGGGGTTAACAGAAGTTAGTCTGTAAATTTTCGTAACACATTTTCTCAACTTTGAATTTTTCACAGATTTTTTTAAATTTTACCGAAGAGTTCCGCAATTCAAAAACTCGTGTCACTGCCACTTCGAGTTTTCTAGGGAGTTAATCTCGGGCACTATTGCGATTTGAGGCACTAAATTATCATCACAGTTTTGTTATTGTATGTGAACGAAGAAGGCGCAAATTTTTGTTGCTCAATGTTTGTCAATATCTTTAGCGGATCAAGAGTGATTGACGTTTTTATACTAAAAATATGCACTTTTCAAATGTTAATATCTCTGGTTGGGGCAAACAAAACAAATTGTTTTTTACGGCATTTGAAAGGGCGTATGTTATTCTCAATAATATGAAAAAATTCGACGTATGTTATTTTTTAAACTCATATAAAATCTATGAGAATTTATCCATATTTTTTACTATATTCGAGTATATCTTTTTTATTAGAAGAGATATAGGCAACAAATTCCGCTATAAAACATTCGTCTTAAAGATTTTTAAAAGTCTCTAGAAGATGACTTTCATGATAAATTTCAAATAAAAAAGTTATTGCTAAAAAACTATTTTTTCCAGGAACACCCTACGTCAACTCCGAAAAATTACTCTAAAATGAGAACGTTAAGAGATCGAAAAAAAAATTTCTTCGACAAAGTTGCTTGCAATTAACTAAGCTACAACTTGTTAAACAACACATGGTTTTATTTTGTAAAACAAAAAAGTTAGTTTTAAAAATTCCCTTATTTGAGGACCACCCTGACGTTTGCAAACACCAAAAGAAGGGAATTGGATACAAAAAAGTTATTTTCAACAAAGTTGCTTGAAATTAGCTCAGCTATAACTTTGCCGAAGAATGTATACCTTAATTTATTCAAACAAAAAAGTTAGATTTTTTATTTTAATGATAATAGGAACCACCCTAGAATTCATTGTCATAAAAATGAGGGCGTTACTATAAAGAACAACTTTGTAGAAGAAACTTTTAGTCTAAAGTTTCAATTTCAGGCTCAAAACATATCATTCCACCTAAATCTGCATTCTGGACCACTGTGCATTGTTTGATATTTTTTTCAAAAATTCCCGGAAGTTTCTTCTGACCTCCACTAGAAGTCCTACTGCCTACCTCTGGAAGTAGAAATTGTTTTCTATTTCTTCCGAAAGACTCTTATGACTTTCCTTGTAATGTCTTTTCACATCTACGGAAAGTTTTTCCAGAGTTCTCCTGAAAATGCATTCTGACTGTTTCCGGAACTTTTCTTTATTTTCCCCCGAAAATTTATATCAGCTAATTTTCCTCGATGAGCGGTCGCTTCGTGTTCTCGTCAAGGAGATGTAAGTTGCCATAAATTCGATCATTCGGGTGAGACCCTTCCTTTTTGCATGTTTACATTTTATTTTATTGGATTGGAATTAAAATTGAGGAGCTCGGCTAGCTTGACGGCTACCGCTTTTGCTTACTGAGTAGAAGATCGTGGGTTTATTTCCAAGATCCACCAAAACAAAACAATTACTATGGTCGAATCACCTGCTTAAGCGAATCCTGACCCATCTCCTACCCAACTATGCCCACTCCGTAGAAACTATGGGGGCGTCTGTGAGTCGCTGGCCTTTCGTTAAGTAGTTGTTACATCAAAAATATCATTCCTTTCCTCGTAACGGAGAAGATGGGCTTGGCCGGCAATGGCATGCTTTTCCTATGTTGAATTCTGATTGGAGAGCTATTCATTCCCAAATAATTTTCCTTAAGCAATTAGAATAAGAATGTTAAAGTAGATAAATGAAAGTTGCCAGTATGCAACCTACGAATTACTCCGTTACAAACGTTACGCAACGCAACGCAATAATTCATCCGATTTTTCTCGGATGATTCCTTCGACTTCCTCCAGAAGCTGCTTGTTTATAAGACAAAAACTCAAGCTGAAAACATCTTTGTCGTTCTGAGCTGCATGCATTTGGCCTTGATGGCCTTCCGGTTAGAAGTCGTTTGAGAATATTGTGTGTGTGTCAGGAAGTTGGGGTTCGATTCCCGCTCAAGCTTGGGAGAGCTTCTTGTGAAATTGGAAAATTTCCTACTAGCCTGGTGCTTTGTGTAATCCCTTGCCTAATGTTAGGTGTCGATTGTCCAACAACCGCAAATAATTTCATGGTGCCGTACTAAACAAATCAGTCTAATGAAAACATCAATAAATAGAATTGACCATCGAAAATAGGTCTATTTTAACATTTAACGCGAGCTTTCTTTTATTTATCTCAAAAAGCATTCCTCCGATTGCACTGCGACTAATAAAAAAGAAATAAGAAAGCACCCACTTACCTTCTGCTCGTAGGCCATCGGCGTCCGCTGGTCCGAGGGGTCCGTCTGGTACTGGGGACTGTCACTGTAGCTTAAATGGCGGCACCGGTTCAGCGCTGCAGCACTGCCGATTCCGCTGGTCTCGGGTGAGCTGTTGGTTAGCGACGTGGAAGCAGATCCGGAAGAGCCCGGAATCGATTGCAGCTGTTGTTCCAGGGAACTGTTGCTACAGTTGAGGCTGTGATAGCCACTGGAATGATCTCCACTGGCGCTGCTATTGCTGGTGTTCTGGCAGAACATTCCGGAATCCGAACCCCGGCCACCCAGCTGCAAACGATGATGCTGTTGCTGTTGCTGTGCACCGGGAACCTGTAGATGCGTCTGTCGCAAAGACGTATTCATGGCATGCAATTGTGACTTTCCCAAGCCAGGTGGCATTGACAACGGGTTGTGCATTTTCGACGGTCCCATTTGTAGGTTTTGGAATTGATTTCGCATTTGATTGAGGGCAAACTCCTGCGGTGGAGTCGGCGATGGCCAGGCGTTGGAGGCAAATGGCATCGGGTTGATCGGAGACAGCGGGGAGAACGGTTGTGGTGTTGGTCCGGCAAGCAGTTGGGATATGTTTTGGGAATTTTGTGCTTGCTCATTCGGTCCCAGATAGGATTGAGGTATATCTGCCACCACCTTCGGACCGGTGCTATTCAGTAGCTGGTGCCGTGCGTCGTAAATGTTGGAAATGAATTTCTCAATTCCCTTGATGACGATGCAGAGGGTGCTCTGGCGGGACTTTTGCCGAACGGAGATAAACACATCATGCGAGTACATCAGCTTGGCAATCTCCTCGGAGTCGACCGTATTCTCCGGATAGTCGAATATCAGTGCAATCGGTAGGTTTCCCTGTTTATAATTGAAAACAAATTTGAGATTACAATTTATACCCGTCTCGATGCGAGTCCAATTTAAGATATAGGAAGGAGATTGCATTATAAGCACCCTTTCCCCTTGGACGGAGGTTCCTTACTATGAGTTGCTGTCTGGCCAGGTAGACACCGTTTATCGTGCCGGTAATGGTCACCTGGGAGCGCTTGATTGGTTTGATGTTCACATCGTTTGCATCCGGAAACATTATCTGTGGGAGAGAAACATAATGGCATACGTGTAGTCGAACGGAGCAGTTACATACAAGCCATGTTGTGGACGATGAATAGAGCAATTGATAGTTAATATTAGTGTGTCATTTAGTTTATTGATGTAGGCCGGGTGAAAAGTAGTTGTGCTGCAAAATTTAATTCGAGCCCGACAAAGGTTGAACGAAGCGTTTTGGTAATTTCAACCAGGAGCAACAAACAACGATATCAATTTTCATCCATTCCCTCTATCACATGGACACCGGTAGCAGTTTATTTATTTGATGGTTCAAGAGTCTCTAACTATGACTTCTTCTTCTTCCTCGCATTTCAAGCTTGTTGCGTATGGCATATTAGCTTTTTACGTGCACTCAACTTAGTGTTCTAGATGCACTTCCACAGTTATTAATTGAGCGCTTTCGATGCCTGTACCATTTTTGCATTGATATGATTGTGTGACAAGTACAATAATACTCTATGCCCATGGAAGTCGAGAAATTTTTCAACCCTAAAAATTCCTATACCGGATCGGGAATCGAACCCAGCCACCTCCAGCATGGTCTTGCTTTGTAGCTGTGCCTTTACCGACTGAGCTAAGGGAGGTCCCAAGAGATATACAAGTTAATCAAGTTAATGTGCAGGATATTATGGCAACTTTAAACAATTTGGATGCTTCCAAAGGCTTTGGACCAGACGGAATTCCACTAGCATTTATGAAGAGCCTGGCACTGGAAATTACAGCTCCATTATTCTGGCTTTTCAATATGTCACTAGATTTTAGAATCTTCCCAAAAACACGGAAAAGCTCTTTTCTAGTGCCTATTTTAAAAAGTGGCAAAAAATCTGACATACAAAATACCGAGGAATTGCTATTATTTCCTGTATCCCAAAGCTTTTCGAAGCGATCGTCAATGAAAAACTATTCAATCAGATCAAAAACAGAATCACTAACATGCAACATGGTTGTTTCAAAAGACGATCAACTAATACAAATTTACTTGAATTCGTCAACTATTCTTTGGTTGCAATGTATAATGGAAACCATGTAGAAGCACTCTATACCGATTTTAGCAAAGCATTTGATCGTATTGATATACCCATGCTACTTTTCAAATTACAAAAAATAGGAATTGAACCTGGACTTCTCAAATGGCTTGAGTCATATTTAACTAATCGCCAACAAATAGTTAGATTCAAAGGTGAAAAATCAAACCCTATTACTGTTACTTCTGAAGTCCCTCAAGGCTCGCATCTAGTCCATCTTTTGTTTATTTTAATTGTAAACGACATCTCCTTTATTCTTGAAAACATAAAAGTTTTAATCTATGCGGATGACATGAAGCTCTTTCTAGAAATAAGAAATAAAGAAGATATACAGACATACCAGATTGAAATTAACTTATTCTATGTTTGGTGTAACGAAAGCCTCCTGCAACTAAACGTTCAAAAATGTAAATCAATAGCTATTAGTAGAAGAAGAAACAAACCAGAAAATACAATTGTAATAGGAAATCAGGCAGTAGAAAAGTGTGAACGAGTTTGGGTTTTAGGAGTTATAATTGATTCAAAACTAGCATTCACTGATCATTATAATACATTTATCAACAAAGCAAATAATATGCTTGGCTTTATCAAAAAATTCAGTTACAATTTTCATGACCCGTATACAATAAAATCACTGTAAATTTCATATGTAAGATCAATACTTGAATATTGCAGCATAGTTTGGTCACCTTTTTCATACACGCATGAGGAACGATTAGAATCAGTGCAAAAGCAATTCTTACTATTTGCTCTTCGTAAATTAGGTTGGACAAGATTTCCTCTTCCATCTTATGAAGCACGCTGCATGCTCATCAACATTCAAACATTGAAAGCGCGTCGTGAATTTGCAATGGTTTCGTTTGTGAACGATATAGTATCGCATCGAATTGACTCATTAGAACTGTTATCAAAGCTTAATTTTTACATACCTTCTCAGCAACTGCGAACTCGAAATATATTTACTACAAATCACTATCGCACAAATTATGCCAAATTCGGTCCATTAAATCAAATTATGACTGCTTACAATAAGCATAGTGAAGCTATTGATTTTATAAGGACAAAAACTAGATTAAAGCAGTACTTTAATTCTATTCGTAATTTTATCACATGACTTGTAACTTGTAAAAAATGATCTACTTCTGATTGACGACAAAATAAAATAAATAAATCCCAACTAGTACTAGTGTCACCAAAATGTGAAATGAAATAAAGGAATGATAATCCAACAATCATAAGCAATGTATCTTGGAAATCACGGTCATGAGTCTAGTGAACAAAGAACAAAGGCATCATTAATTTAAAAATAAGGTCTAGGATCTCCAACCCGAAAATCATACTCCCACCATAACAATAAGCAATCCAACGAAACTTTCCTGCCCTAGAACCCCGATTGAGATACATCCGATCTGAATAGACCTACCTGTGTTCCAGTTCTGCTCATAATTTCCCGCAAATTACCCGAAGCTCGACCAAGCACAATCGGATGATGCTGGGTGGATATTTCCAGCTGCATCTGGACGGGAATTTGATTCTGCAAGACCGAGAGGGAGTGAAACAGTTTGTTGTACAAATTACAATTTCGCTATCATAATTTATCATCAAGCTCTGCGTTCGAACCTCCGGTTCCATTGTCTCGGAAACTTACCGCAATATTCTCGCACATGAAGTCCATCAGCCGGTGGGTGGCTTCCTTCACCTTCAGCTCTTCCTTCTCCGAACCCTTGACCAGCACCAGCGACGAGTGCAGCTTAGGCCGGGTGGAAAAAATGACCTGCACGTTGAATTCCTTCTCCACCTGCTTGACGTAGGGGGTTTCGTTGTCCGGTGAGGGTTTACCCGGGGCCAGGATCGGCAGTTCGAACGAAATCAACAGCGGCGTCGAGTTGCGAACCAGCGCACGTGCCCGTTCGACGCCTTCCATGCTACCACACAGCGACACCTGGTTGCTCTTCTCCGTCGGATTGGATCGGTTCGAGTCCGGGAAGTGGATGTGCGTGGCCGTCTCCTCCATGATGCGCTTGATGTTGTTGCCCCCGCGGCCGATTATGAACGAGTGGTCCGTGTAGGAGACGTCCATTTTCATGATGACGCGGCTCCCCTGAAGAAAAAAAAAATGTGTGTTTGTTGAAATGCGGTCCTCAACGGCAAAGGGAAATATCCAATTACCCGAGAATCCAATCGAGCCATCACCTTATCCTTGGCCTTCAGCACATCAGCCATTTTGCCGACGATGCGAATGTGGGGATCTTTTTTGGTTTTCGCACCGATTTTCAACCGGCACGGCCAGCTGACGTACGTGGTGGTTTCCTTCATGATCTGACCGATGAGAAAAGGTTCGTTTGAGCGAAAAGAAGTAATACATTTCTTAAAGAAACTTACATTTGTGAAGAACTCCTCAGCGCTATTCATTCCTTCTGAATACGTTTCAACTGTAAATAATAAACAAGTAAAAATTGTCAAACGTTGTGTAACATCCATCTTAGAATGCCATGCACATTTTGGATAATTGGAATGTATGCTCTCTGCGTAAAGTATTGCCATTTTAGGGAAAACATTACAACGTAACAGACAGGTGATCTGACGTCAAATACTAATTTTTATCTGGATTGACAATATTGGTATTCTCGAGCAAAATTTCATTTGAAAATGATAACCACACGCCTTACAAATTTCTCTTAAAACCATTGTAAGGATGGATTTATTACATCCTCTTCATATGTTTCATAAAACAATTTTTCTGTTAATCACTTTATTTCTACAGGCTCAATCGAATAAACTTTACAGAGCCAAGTTATCTTTTTATATATACATTTTAAATGTCTTAAGTCTAAAATTAAAGGGTTTGTCCGATTACTCGCGGTCTTCTCGAGGTTAGTGGATGACAATTGTTTGGATCGGTGAAGGAAAAGGAGATTTGGAATATGATTTATGATTCAAAAATTTCACTATTTCTAAAACATATACTTAATCCTATCGACGTTGTATCAACTCTGTAATTATACAATTATTACAGACACAAATATACGAAACAAAAAACACACACACACGCACACAAAATACAAACTAAACACAAGGTTAATCAAACTTACAATCTATGGTTAATATTCTTAAAGAAAACATATTTGGGTTGCCTCCCTTAGCTCAGTCGGTAAATGCGCAGCTACAAAGCAAGACCATGCTGGAGGTGGCTGGGTTCGATTCCCGGTTCGGTCTAGGAATTTTTCGGGTTGGAAAATTTCTCGACTTCCCTGGGCATAGAAGTATGATTGGACTTGCCACACAATCATATCAATGCAAAAATGGTACAGGCATTGAAAGCTCTCAATTAATAACTGTGGAAGGGCATCTAGAACACTAAGTTGAGAGCACGCAATAAGCTAATATGCGATATGCAATAAGCTTGAAATGCGAAGAAGAAGAAGAAGACAAACTCCAGATCGCGTCTAGCCAAAATATCCCGAACTGGGACATTAGGTTGTCTACCTCGAGCCCGAAGGGAATCGTACAACTCGGATCTGACTCCACGGTGCTCAGCACAAGACCAAATGATGTGATCTGCGTCTTGGTAACCTTGTCCATATTCACAGAGATTGCTGTCTCCCAGCCCAACACGGAACAAGTGAGCGCTTAGCGAATAATGATTGGACATGAGGCGAGACATCACACAAATGAAGTCTTGACCCACCTCCAAACCTTTGAACCAAGGACACTTCGACACCTTAGGGATGATTGAATATAACCATCGTCCTAAACTCCCAAAATGAAATCCCGTCCTGGTGATTCGCGCAACGGGATTTCTAATGATTTTTATTTAGTTCACTTCAAGTCTAGTGAACTAAACAACCTTAAGGTCTTAGAAAAAACTAGCCTTATGCTCCATGTCCGAATGAAGTGGGAACACTTCAGGAATACTGGAGGAAATTTCCAAAACCTCACCCAGTGCCGTAAGTGCCAGGGATGGGGTCACGGAACTAAAAATTGCTACATGCCAGCTAACTGCATGAATTGTGGTGATTCCTCTCACGCAAAGCATAACTGTCCTGTGAAGGAAGATCCTAAGAAATTTAAATGTTCAAATTGTGGTGAAAACCACAAATCCAATTTTTGGGAATGTAAGACTCTCAAAGCTATCCTACAATCTCGTTCTAAGCGACAGGTAGGACGCTCCACGTTTCCGACCAGGTACAAATTCCTCTGCTGTTAACAACGGTCAGCGAGGAACAAATTCTACATTCGTACCCGTAGGTACAAATATCACCCCTACTTCAAATTTTTCATCTGTACCTACTCCCCTCGCTGCTAACAATGTTCAGCGAGTTAATGGAGCTACCTATGCTGCTATTGCACCGGGTAGAAATCAAAATACTAACCAACGTAATTCTAACGGAAATTTTGACAATTTTGACGTACTGCTCCTTAAATGGATTTTTTACAGAATTCATTAATTAAAATGATTACTGATATGCTTAAATCTAACTCCATGTTTGATGCTATTGAAACTGGAGTAAAATTTGCGAACAATATTGCCATGACTTTGAAATTCAGTAATGGATTTTAAATCATTAAATATTTTAAACTGGAATGCTCGATCTCCTAACGATAATGAAGACGAGTTAGTTTACTTTTTGGGTGTTCATAACGTGCATATCACCGTTATAACTGAAACTTTCCTTTAACCTGACCATAAGGTTAAAAGGGACGCGAATTATTTTATTTTTAGAAATGATCGTCTTGATGGAGCCTGAGGTGGCGTTGCCATCATTGTTCATAGACGAATCAAACATAAAATTCTTTTTTCATTTGAAACCAAAGTTTTTGAAACTTTGGGTGTTTCTGTTGAAACAAAATTTGGACAACTTACGTTTCTAGCTGCCTATTTGCCATTCCAATGCGTAGGCCAGCATTATAATTTTCTCCAACTTACCCGTCAAAGATCTAAATTCTTCATTATTGGTTATTTTAATGCAAAACACCGCTCATGGAATAATGATCAAAGCAATTCCGATGGTAATATTCAGTTTGATGATTGTTCTGCAGGTTTTTTTACTATTCAATATCCAAACAGCCCAGCATGCTTTTATACAGCATTAAATCCCTCCACTATTGATTTGGTCTTAACTGATTCATGTCAACTTTGTAGCCAAATGGTTACCCATGCTGACTTCGGTTCTGATCACCTTCCAGTAGCTTTTGAAATATCCCAAGAAATAATTTGTAATCCCAACAGCTCTACTTTCAATTACCATAGAGCTGATTGGGAGCAATATCGAACATATATGGTACATAATTTCGATCATAACATTCATTTGCAAACCAAAGATGAAATTAATTATGCTCTTGAATCTCTGACTACTTCTATAGTTGAAGCAAGTTCCAAAATGCGAGGTTAAATTTGATTCAATTATAATAGACGACGATCTTTAGCTCTTGATCCGTCTTCAAAATGTCCGTAGGAGACAATATCGAAGAACACGTGATCCTGCCATGAAAGTTATCTGGCGGGATTTACAAAAACAAATTAAAAAACAATTCTCTGCCCTGAGGAACAAAACTTTTGAAAATAATGTTTCTAAATTAGACCCGAGTTCCAAACCCTTTTGGAAACTTACAAAAATTTTGAAAAACCTCAAAAGCCTATTCCAGCGCTTAAAGAAGGTGGTAAAATTTTGATCACAAATTTGGGAAAAGCTCAGAAATTTGCTAAGCAATTCGAGAGTTCCCATAATTTCAGATTGGGTCTTACTAGTCCTATTGAAATTCAGGTTGCTCGGGAATATCTGAATTTTTTCTCTCGGGAAGTTTTTTTGATGATTCCTGGGGGACTGGTTTGGACGAAGTAAGGTCTATAAATAAAAAGTTTCAAAATATGAAAGCTCCAGGTGATGATGGAATTTTCTATATCCTCATCAAAAAACTCCCAGAGAGTACCTTGTCTTTCTTGGTAAAATTATTTTACAGATGTTTCCATTTGGCATACTTTCCTGATAAATGGAAAAATGCAAAAGTTGTTCCAATGTTGAAGCCGAAAAAAAATCCAGCTGAAGCTTCTAGCTACCGTCCAATAAGTTTGCTTTCTTCAATAAGTAAACTTTTTGAAAAGATAATTTTAAATAGAATGATGCTTCACATCAATATGAACTAAATTTTTGCAGATGAGCAGTTTGGATTTCGCCATGGGCATTCAACTACTCATCAACTCTTAAAAGTTACCAATTTAATTCGTTCAAACAAATCTGAAGGCCACTCAACTGGAGTTGCTCTTCTAGACATAGAAAATGCATTCGACAGTGTTTGGCATGAAGGTTTGATTGCTAAATTGAAAAAGTTTAATTTTCCACTTTATATTATGATATTAGTTCAAAATTATTTAACTGGCAGAACTCTGCAGGTAAATTATCAAAATTCCAAATCTAATCGACTACCTGTTAGAACAGAAGTTTCTCAGGGTAGTATTCTTGGGCCTATATTGCATAACATTTTCACTTTGGACCTCCCTGATTTGCCTCAGGGATGCCACAAATCTTTGTTCGCTGATGACACAGGCATTTCCGCTAAAGGAAGAAGTCTTCGTGTTATTTGCAGCAGACTGCAGAAGAGTTTAGATATTTTCTCTTCTTATTTACAAAAATGGAAGATTTCTACCAACGCTTCCAAAACTCAACTTATAATATTTCCACATAAGCCTAGAGCTTCCTTTTTGAAACCTAGTAGTAGTCACATAGTCACTATGAACGGAGTTCCAATCTCCTGGTTAAACCAAGTGGCTTTGTATAGTACAGACATAATTAAGTATGAAAAGGATTGACCGCTTGCGGTTGCTACTCCGTTATTGCTAGATCACCTGTATTACACAGAGAATCAACAAACGATGCATGGTGATCTCATACTTTGCAATAGGCAATAACAGCTCCGGCCGCGTTCACACGTAGGTCAATTACGGAATGGATAGGAATGGTCTGTTGGAAACCAAGAAATTCTCCTCACTTCCACGAATTTATCAATAGCTTTACAACATAATTTACTTGTTTTTTGAATTTAAGTATAATTATATCCATAATCCCGCCCTTATTTAGCCTCGTACTTGCAACTTAAGAAGGGCAACCAATTGCCTCGGAGAAGCAAAAGTCCGCTGTGCTATTGCTTCGGTTAGCGCAGTAAGGGCTTTATAATGTAGAGGGCGCTCTGATACTCCACAGGCTCCGTTAGCGATTAGGTTTTTGTTATACCCCTTTAGGTACTGTGGAGTCGATCGATTTTAATTTGCAAGCCAATGGAAAACTGCTTGATTTTTGGAAAACTTTGTTTTGCCTGAGGGTTTGCCCAAGAATGTTTAAGATATTTCTAGAATTTTTTTAATGTTATTATTGAAATTTAGAGAAAGTCAAGTATGATATGAGATAAATAAGAAAAAGAAAAATGATGGTGCTTGGAAATGTTGACGAAACTTAAAAAGCAAATAAGAATAATTTCAAGAAGTAAGGATAAACGGACTTTGTTGATTTTCAAGGAACATTTGAGTGATTTTCCGCCCCTCGCTGTTTTGTGGTGTGGCAAATTCCCCCTTCACCACCTAGCACTGTGCTGCTCATAACAGCATAACACATCAACTACACAGCAATTTTTTTTTTTATATTACATTCACGAGGATACACTTTAATCATACCGAAAATCAGTAATTTTTAGGACCACAAAATAAACAAATGCAGTAAAAACAGCGTAATGTCAGTTCATGCACTGTATTAATGATGATTTTTTTCTTTTTAGTAAGTAATATTACACCACATTTTCGACACGATTGAAGTGCATCCACTTTGATGTGATATTAAAATTAATTTTTGCTGTGTAGATAATGCACTATTTGAAACAACGTCAACGTCAGGGGCAGGCGAGTCGTTATTTCAGACATATTTATATTTTATATGGCGCTGGTCAATTGGATGCAACTACTTAGCTCAAATTTTAGGAACACAGCACTGGTTATAGCTCATTGAAGTTTTTAGGAGAGAGAATAAAACGCTATATACACAGCAAAAACATAATTTTGATATCACATCGAAGTGGATGCACTACAATCATGTCGAAAATTTCATGTAATTTTTATGACCATATAAATAAACAAATGCAGTAAAAGCTGCCTAATGTCAGTTCATGCATTGTATTAATGATAATTTTGTCCTTTTTAGCAAGTAATATTACACCATATTTTCGACATGATTTTAGTGTATCCACTTTGACGGGATATCAAAATTATTTTTTTGCTGTGTACTTTTGTTTAGCACTGTATAAGCAGATTTGGTGTCGCAGCTTCTGCCCTCTTGATCGCACGCTTACCTTTGATCATTTCCTCCAGCTTCTGGCGGTCGACCTTGAACCGCTCGACATGCAAATCATCCGGATTGGCCACTCCCAGCTGGGCGGCAATTAGCCGCAGGTCGCCCCAGTCGCTCTCCACCGACGAGATCTCGCTGCCGGTCGTTTCGCTCGGTGGCCCGCCACCGATGAAGATGTGCTTGTTGAAAGGTGGACAAGATGCCGCCATCATTTTTCAGCCACCCGAACGGGGTTTTCCTTGGGTTATTGCACTGATTTGTTTTTCGGTTCGACTTATTGTTTTATTCGGGACTACGATGTTGATGGGTTTTTGTCGTCTGCATGAACGGATATAAATCTACCACAATGTTATTCGCGACCAGAGAGAGAGTAGGTGGTGATCCTGTGAAGAAGATAGCAAAAAAACGGAAATTAAAAATCGAAACATGAGCTGCGCATCTCCCCGCATCGAATGTGCCCACTCGATGGTGTTGATGTGGTGAATGGGGGCAAATAAATTGGATTTTTTGTTCTACACATAATTGATTGTATCTCATAAATAACATTCGATCGACGATGGTGATGTGGCAGGTCATCAGACAAAGAGCAATTTGCACAACGATGAAAATAGGAACTTTTGACAAAGTGCAAGTGCTGATGCATCTACTGCTGAACTTCAATAACGGTGGTTAACTAAACAAAATAACCCTACCTTGTAGCCGCTTATGGCTACCCCCTAACAGACGTCCAACTGTAACATTGATTGGACACTGACGCGCAGCCAAAAAAAAACACATCCTTCCATTATCAGATAGCACATAAATCAGAAACATGAATTTGTAAAACGCTCAACACTTTGCTACCACCCAGAGCCCAATTCATCAGATAACATCGCACTTATTTCCATCGAAATCACCATTCACACACGGGGCTATGCATGCCATCATCAAAACAACCAATGCCTAAGCAATGTTTGCCATTTTCCACTGACAACAGTCAGCAGCAGTACTAACGGCTAATCGAGCAAATTGTATCTTCCTGGGTGAAATCCAATTCGGGCGATTTATGGGCACCCATTTGCGAATAATTAATAATGGCCCCTTGAGGGGTGAAACGACCATCATCGACGGTTCCAGAGCGAGGTGATTTTGGGCTCACGAATAATTGAAACATTGTGAGTGGTTCACTTCCGATTCGATACATCCCGCTCAATGGCGGTTACTTTTGGGGATTTGGATTTTGGTGAGCGGGGGTGTGTTGATTGTCTAGAGCTGGCAAACGCTGTTGTTTGCGTAAACGTTAGGGTTGTCAATGAGTCGGCTTGAATGCAGTTTATGGAAAATGTAAAACGAACGGGGAGCCATCTCTACGGTTTCCCACCACCACCGGGAGAACCGATTAGTTTTGTGGCGAGAGTTTGCACTGAAATTTATGAGTTGTTTTCAGTTTTCGCAGTGTCCCGTTAAGTGAACGGTGACGAAGTGGAAGCGTATTTGGTGATTGTTTGTTCAAAACATCCGCCAACCAATGCTGGGCACTGTCATCACGGTGATAGTGAATTCAATGGATTTGCAGCGCCGCGGATGGGCAGCAAGTGCGTTGAAATTGATATTTGTTGTGAAAGGAGAATGGTTGACTTTGGTTGCTCGATGATCGTTTAGGAATGGCAACATTCGGCATGGATCCGTTTGGAAATTATAACTTGCAATATGTTAAAGAAGATGGGTTAATGTGAACATACTAGTTGCCTGTTTTTTTTTGGAAATCTACAGAACAACAACAACGCATCTTTAGTGGCACCAGTGGTGTAGGGGTGAGCGGGCCTGGGTACAATCCCAGTCGTACCTTCGGGATTTTCTGAGGCATACAATCTCTGATCACGGGAGGGGGGGCGGGAGGGACGTAGAGCCGTTGATCCCGGTCCGTGATTTGAGTGTTCAGGTGTGGGAGCTGCCTTCCTGGCGGCGTTAGCATTGGTACTCAGTACGGAAAACATGGTCGACGGAAAACAAATCAAGGAAAAAAACAACGCATCTGGGTCCTAACCTAGTGTTTGGGAAATCATACTCTAATCTCAAACATTGACCTCTTCTGAGCAGTAGGGTTAAATACCCCATTTCCGGCCTATTAAGCACTTAGTCTTTCTTAATCTAGCGCAGTTTAGCCCCAAACGGCATGTTATTATTACTGATGGCTTTCAAATTTATTTACCTTTCCGTATGTACCGTAAGATTTGATAAAAAGAAACCAATCGTTGAGATATTGTCAAAAGTATATAAATGCTTCTTGACGCCAAACTCGGCCTAACGCATTGAAACGCCATTGAAACGCCAATGAATTCACTTCGGCCTATCGGATGAAGATAAAACATGATTCGCTCGGAGTGCTTCTTTTGTTTTTGGGAATAATGGGTGCAAACCTTCATATCACGCGTTTTCATTGACTTCGTTCGGTAGCTTATTAACCTACCCAGGTTAATAAGCTACCGAACGAAGTACCCACTGCGGACTCACTCAATGTGCTTGTCACTTGGGAGCCAGTCAGAACTGTCAAACGGGAGCCAAACATTCAGAAGCAACAAACTCAGTTACTGTTCTTACCTCTTGTCAAGCATTGCAATCTCATAAAAATGATTCATACTTTTTCATAACACATTCTTAATTGTAAGTTCAAAGACAAAAACCAACAGTCTCAATAATGAAAGTTTAAAAACCAGCATAGTTTTTATGACTCAGCTGAGTTTTCAATTGCAGTAAAACATACTTTGGCGAAACATGGTTGTAAACAAACTTTGATAGAGTCATGGGGGCTCGAGCACTCCTGGCTCAGAGCTTTTGGCGGAAATCAACTCAGAAAGAACAAAACAATTTTAAACTTGAACAAATTTTCAAGCAGTTTTCCATTGGCTTGCAAAATGGAATCTATTTACTCCGCAGTACTCAGTTATTTACTAAAGTATTCTATCAAACGCATAATTGACTTGTTAGCTCTGAAATCGTGGATTTATTAGAAGTTTTCTGCACTCAGTTTCAGGTGCTTCTAAATCGGAATATGTACACGCAACTCGACGAAAAGCGCGTTTGATTGAATGGAAGCTCTCGTTGCTTTCAACTAATAATGATGTCATAAGAGCACGCGCACCAATGCGTTGCTAAAGCTATTTTAGCAACCTCTACCATAACGCAGTAACCGCACTGGGGGTTGCTATTCAAGTGCGGGAAATAACAATCTGCCTCTCGGTGAACAGCGGGTTGACAAATATAGCAGCGCGATAGCAACCGGCCCAAGCATTGGTATATCCCAAGTAGCATTTCTTGTTTTATTGCACTCTATTAGTGGTTATTGAGATCAATTTCATAAAACCGCCAATAAAATTAATGGCTCCAGCACAACCTTTTGATAACCGCTATAAGATCGTCTTACAGCTTAGTGGACCACTCTTAATAAGGTTTATAAAGCATGTTTGAGAATCACAATAAAGCTGTCTCAAAACCTTTTGTCAGGAAACCTAGATACTCTACAAAAGGTTCTCATAGCCTCTATAAGAGTAATATTGTATCCAAGCAGTTTTATTACGCTTTGGTGAAAATCAGTTATAAAGGCAATTTAATTTTATTGGCTTCAAAGCAACCGCCATAAATTAGCTTGTTGTTGTTCTGTTCTGCTGAAACTTTTTTTCCAAATGGAAATCTTTAGCGGTAAAAATAGGTTTGGGTGTTGGTGTCAAGATCACCATGCAATCAATTTTGTTTCATGGCGACATTAGTGAAAATCTTAAAGAAAATATATGACTTTTTAGAAGTTCCAAAACATATGCGCTTGAAATGTTGTTTAAGAGATGAACTAGCCTCAGGCTAAAAATCTCTAAAATAAAGATTAAAAAAAAAAAAAAAAAAGCTTGAAATGTTGTCGTGTATATTGGGATAATATGAGCGTTAAATAAATGCGCCTCCAAAATAATTCAAGTTAACGAAAAAGATTGTTTCAGAAATCAAATGAATTTGATGGAATCACCTTAATTTTACAGAAAATAGATCTCAATACATAAATTCATACCAATGCACACTGGAAATCATTTCAGATCTCTTATTTAGCCATTATTTTATTGAAATTTCTTGGATTTTATTCCAAGGCTAATGGTATTTTCATAATGACAATATGGCGACAGAGGACAGCAGGCAAGAAAAACACCAAGCGCAATTTCTTAAAATGTCTAATGCTTACATTGCACGCTGGGTCAGGAATGCAACCTAGCGGAGCAAAATTAATAACTCCGAAACGAAGCATTTCCGCGACTTGGTGACTTCGGCAAAATTTCTCGTCATAATAAGGACCATCTATTGACATAAACAAATAGTTCAAAACTTTTCCGCAAAGATGGTGTCACAATTTAACTTCTTTCTCTGACGTTTTGGAGACTTGATGTCTTGGGCAAAGTTGTTTATCTTGACAAAATGAACAGCTCTTTCAAAGACGTTAAATTTCCACTGTCTACTGGTTCCAAGTTATATGGAGTTAAAGAAAAAAATGTCGAAAATATGGTTTTTTTTTTTCTGTTTCGGTTTTTTTGCTTACAGCTTTATAATGTTATATTTTTCTCTTATGCGAATACATTAAATAAATTGCTTTTGTGAAGAAACATACTGGATTAAGCTTCAAATTTCAAAGACATTGTTGAAAAAACGAGAAAAAAACACAATTTTGACATTTTCAGCAAAAATTAAGCAATACTCGATAAACAAAATATCAAAATTTGAGAGAGGTATATTTTGGTGTTTTTTTTTAGATATCTTCATTTTAGTGGAACATGATTTTTTTCTATAACTTTTTTTAATGCATTGAATTTGTGTTTCGAAGACTTCACGACTTTGTCAAAGTTGGTTATCTTGATAAATTAAACAAATTTTCTTAATACGTTAAAACTTCACAGCCTACTGTTTTCGAGTTATGTGAAATAACAGTAAAAATGTTTAAAGTAAGTGTTTTAATTTTAAATATATTGTTTAAATGAATATACCTCGAAAACAGTAGGCTGTGAAGTTTTAACGTCTTAAGAAGAGTTGTTTATTTTATCAAGATAAATCATTTTGCCAAAGTCGTCAAGTCTTCAAAACGCCATTTCAATGCATTAAAAAAGTTATAGAAAAAAATAATGTTCCATTAAAATGAAGAAATCTAAAAAAAAAAACACCAAATATACCTCTTTCAATTTTTGATATTTTGTTTATCGAGTATTGCTTAATTTTTCCTGAAAATGTCAGGTTGCGATTTTTTGCGCTTTAGGAGATATTAACGCTCAAAAATTGTGTTTTTTTTTTCTCGTTTTTTCAACAATATCTTTGAAATTTGAAGCTTAATCCAGTATGTTTCTTCACAAAAGCTATTTATTTAATGTATTTGCAT